GTTCCCAGCCGCGCTGAGGTCACAGGGAGGCGGGGGCGTCCGAGCCGAGCGCCTGCGCCGAGCCCGGCCGGCCGGAGCCCGAGGCCCGCGAGCGGGGAGACGCAGGCCGGCATGGAGGAGTGCCGGGTGCTCTCCATCCAGAGCCACGTCGTCCGCGGCTACGTGGGCAACCGGGCGGCCACGTTCCCGCTGCAGGTACTCTTACGTAACCCGCCGGGTCCCCGCGGCTGGCCGCAGCCGGCTCGCGTGACCTTGGCGGCGTCCCAGAGCTGCCGTCCGGAGCGCGAGATGCCGGACGCCGGCTCGTAGCACCTGGGGGGATCCCCCCGCAAGTGCCACGCGCACCCGCCAGCACCCATCCCTTCCCGCTTCTCAGGCCCTGCGGGCGGGCTCCGTGGGGGCGGGAAGATGCGACGCAGTGGCCTGGGAGTCACGCGAGCCGGGACCCTGCCCCGGAGCGAAGGAGGAGGCGGGATGATGGGCAGGTGTTTGCAGTGCCCCGTTCTGTCGCTGCCCTCAGTGGGGCAGGCTGCGGGCGGAAGGGGGAGGAAGCTCAGACAGGGAGGCCCCGCCGGCGAGGGTGGGCTCCACCGCGCGGCTGACCTTTCCGGGGGAGGGGTGGTCGCTGGCGGGGGTGGGGCAGAGAGGGCCTGCCTGCAGGGCTTGGCTTAAGAAGCTGCCTTTGAAGTGTGTTAGCCCTTCCAAACTGGCTGTCCCCACGGCCCGCCCTCCTGGCTGGGCACCCGCTGCTTCCTGTTGCAGCTGAGGTTATGGCTGGGTGGCCCTTGGAGGGGCAGGAGGAGACCCCGGGTGTTAAGCTGGACCGGAGGTAACTTCCTGTAAGGGCACTTCCTTGCCTTGTGGCCCTTCAGGAGCACTGCGGGATCCTGGCAAGTTGATGACTTTCCCAGACTGCCCACCTTTGGCCCATGTTTGAGCAAGGAGCAGGTATGGGAGGTCTAGGGGTCCCTGCTGTGTGTGCTGGGTGCACAAGACATAAGGGCCCCTGGCCACGACCAGTGGCCTGCAGGGAGCAGGCGGGCCAGAAGGATCACAGGAAGGGCTGGAGCTGTTGCTCAGTAGCATGTGAGGGCTGACCTGATGCCTGAGGGGGAAATAGGGGAGCAAAGACTTGAAGGTGCAAAGGCACAGGGTCCAAGTTCAAAGTGATCACTTGCCCTTGATGTGTGAACATCTGCAGAGAAGCATGTGGTACTCAGCACAGGGTCTGGTTCTTGCCCCACCCCTTCCAGCTGGGGGGAGGGGGGTGCAGACCAGAGGGTTTGTGAGGTGTGTGCCTGGGGCTGTCCCACGGCCTGGGGGGGGGCAGGGGGCTCCACCGCTCTGCCTCACCCCTAGCTTGTTCGGGGGAGGGGTGGCTGGCAGGTATTGTGTACTCAGGGCCACTGTGGAGGGGTTGGGGTGCAATGGGGGCGTGGAGCTGCAGGTCCCTGGAACAGAGCAGGGGCAGTGTAGGAGGGGCACCAGGATAGGTCTGAGAATGGCCCAGCCCTGCCTTGATCAGGGAGCCACAGGAGCGGCCCCTGGCAGCAGTGCAGCTCCCTGCTGGCTTCCTTGCGCCCTTTGCCCTGTCCCTCCTCCCCAGCCACCTGTGGCCGTCTTTGTCTGTCCTCTGCTCACCTGGGTCCTACAGTCCCGTCCCTCGTTCCTGAACTCACAGGCACATGCCCTCAGTTCCCGCTCCGAAACCATCACTTTTCCGTTACTTGAGGGAGGGGGCACCTGGGGGAGTGCCTCTAAGGACATAGCTGGGGTCTCGCTAGGGCCCGGCATCCTCGTGGATGCATGTGTTGGGCTTATGGGACTTTGGCTGGGGGACGGGAGTCATGTCACCTCCTGCTTCCTGTCATGGGGGGGCACCCCTTCTCTGATTTAATCCAGCCTTGCACTTCCTCCCCTTGGGTTTGTGAAGCCCAGGAGGCTCATGGCAGGGCAGGTGTCGCAGATGGCAGGGTGACCTTGAAGAGGCCACCTTCCACAGAGCCCTCTGGTGCTCTGCTGCCTCGTCTGTGGAATGGGCGTGATGCTGCTTCACAGGTGCTTTAGGACCGGGGCGACAGGGGGGTGCACGTCTCTCTGAGGTGCTGGCAGCAGAATAAGATGGGCCAGCAGCACCCTGGGGTGCTTTGCTCGCCTCTCCATGCGGAAGGACCAGACAGCAGGGCAGGGCCGGGTGGCACCCACGTGTGCCTGGGGCACCTGCGGAGGCCAGGACCCCTTTCGGGTGGGTGTGGGTCGGGTCCCACTGCCTTCCCTGGGCCTTTTGCCTACATCCCCTCCTTCTAAGCCCAGAAGTACGATGAGTGCTTTGGCTGGAGAGGCCATTGCGGGGCTGACCTGCTGTCCCCTGCTTCAGAGTTCCGGCTCGGAGACTGGCCCTGCCTTCTGTGCCTTTCTAAGTCTCATCTGCCAAGGGATATCAGTGAACAGAAGACTCGAACCTTCGTGGATTGAAGAGGAGCGTTTTTATTTGGGCCCACGTGAGGACACGCCCCAGAGCGGGGCTCCAAGGAGCCCCGAAACCGGGTGCGACTCAGCAAAGTGAGGGACGTCACACAGACAGGAAGACAAAGGGACGCAGCCATGCACCGGCAGGTCTGGGGAGTTACACGCGTTCAGGGCTTCCGGGTTTCACACGGCGGAGGGGGGGAGTGCTCAGATAAGGGGGTACACGCCCCAGAGCCAGGAGTTCTGGGAAGGGAGATGGGCCCTGTCCACGCCTGTACCAGGACGTGGGAGGAACAGCCTAAGCCCTTTAGAATCACTTCTCTTCAGTTGGAACTGTTGGCCACGTACGTGGCCAGCCCCCCGGAAGGCCAGGGCGAGGCATCCAGTGTGCCCCCTGGGTTACCGACCGCGCTGGGGCAGCTGTCACAGCCTTTCCTTAAGCAATGCGCACAGCCCTCGCGGTGGTCACGTGCCGCCTGGCTCCCCGGGCCCAGGTGCCCACACGGTGAGGGCCGGTTCTGGGGTTCCCGCTGCTTCGTGGGGAGCATGTGCCACTGGACACCTGCGAGCGTGGGCTTCAGGGCCCGAGTTCCCAAACTACTTTTTGCCAGGTCCCTAACGCACACCACTCACGGTCTCCGGCAGACAGCCCGCGGGCCGGTGCCTTCCCCGGGGGAGAATGTCCGGAGGAGAAGGTGGCGGTCCTCACCCTGCTTCTGGTTTGTTTCCAGCCTCAAGTCCAAAGCACATTTTAGTGTCCGCGGGGAACATGTCGATGTGACTGGCAACGGAGGTGGCCTTAGCTCAAAACCCATTTAAACACTGTGTCACCGAGACAGCAAGGCACAACCACGGGAGGGCCCCGAAGCCACCTTAGGGGCCTGCTCGGACATCAGCCCCATTCTTTGCCGGCTGAGGGGCAGCGGGCATGTGGAGAGGCCACTGGTGGGAAACCCGGATTCAGACCCCGGCCTGCTGAGTGACGTTGGCTGCAGGCCGGGGCAGAGGTTGAGGGTCCTGCCGGATGGCCGGGCCCACCACTCTGGAGCAGAGCAGAAGCTGCAGAGCCGTGGGGACCTGGGCGCGGCAGCCCACCTTCTTGTGTGGGCAGCTCAGGCGGGGTTCTGGAGATGCCACTGGGTCCCCAGGGGTCACTTCAGGGCCATAAGGAACTATTCCCACCCTCTTGCCTTGGAAAACACCTGACCCGCAGGCGGCCTTCCTCAGAGGCTCTCCAGATTAGTCCTTTTTCCTTAGAATTCCTAGGACAGGAAGGGTCTTCCCCACCCGACCTGCATTCTGAAGATGCTGGAGACAGTCACCTGCCCTTTGAATGACCTGTTTTTTGCCTTAACGTCTGTTTTTTTCACGTGACACATCATTAGCAAACAGCATTAGAGCTGCTGCCTGAAGCAGTGGCCGTCTGCTCCCTAGGAGTGATGCTCCCGAGTGTCCTCTGGAACCTTCTCTCCGTGCTGTGTCATTGCTGGGTGTGACCTCCCATCCCTCTGGAGCCCCTGGCCCGATCCAGATGATTCCAGTCCTGGAACGTGGGTGTTGATTTTGCTGTTTTCCCAAGAAAGTCCGGAATTGCTTAATATCCTGATTGCTTAATCTCATTTGGGACTGAGGTTTCTGTTTCCCTTTGCTTGTCTCACTTTCTCATCTTCCCGCGTCCGTGTGGCTGTTGCGTGGTGTTGCTGGGCTCCGCGTGGGGCCCTGTCTTCTGTTTAAGTGACAGTCCTCACAGAGCAGCACTGCCCTCTCTTGGGGGGAGGGCGCACCTGCCAGCAGGTGGCTTCCACGATGTGGGGGCCGACTGGCTTTGCAGCCCTTAGGCTCGGTGGACCCCGGGCCCACGAGGCCCACAGGGAGCCTTGCTAGGGTCAGGCGGTTCCACTCACGGGGTGAGCTGGGACGGGGCCACCATGGGGCAGAGCCAGTGGAGTTTCTCTGGGAAAAAGGAGGGCGGTGTGGGGGCACGGGCCACCCAGAGCAGCTGCGCTAGGTGCCGTCAGGAGCTTGGGCTGAGACCCCCTCTCTTGGCTTCGCAGTGCAGCCAGCAGCACCTGGCTGGGGTGTGGGGTGCACTGCACAAGCGTGCGTGTGCCGGGGCTGGGGCACGGGCTGGGGCGCACACGTGACCTAAGGCGGGCGGGAGGCTGCTTCGGGGGAGGCAGGGCTGTGTCCGGGGTCGGGGGGTCCCCGTTGGAGAGCTGAGAACGGAGGTGTGGGCTGAGCTGAGCTGTAGGGCCGACTGGTAACGGGTGGTAGAAGGGACACAGGGCACGTGGCCCCGAGGCTGGTCGGATGACAAGTCACATGACACTGTCATGTCCCTTCTTTCCTCATTCTGATTCCCTATGAAAGTGGCTAACTGTCCTGCCGGTGAGCGTGCCAACGGCGGGGACCCCTCTTACTGCCACCGCCCTCCCCCAGAGGAACCAGGGCGGTGTGGGTGGCAGGCCGCACGGGGACATTCCTGCGGTGACAAGGGGGGGCCGAGCGTCCTGTCCGCACAGTGGGTTGACAGCACAGCCGGAGGTGGGTGTGAGGCCGCTGGGAGCCTGTGTCCCCCACCGGGGCTGCCGCAGAAGCAGACGGGGGAGCCGGTGTGGGCCGGAGCCCCCACCTGTGACCCGTGTCCTCTGCCACTGTGCCTGCGGAGCGTGAGCGCTCTCCGGCGCACATATGCTGGGTCACGTCTGCCGCAGGAGCAGACGGGGGAGCCGGCGTGGGCCGGAGCCCCCGCCTGCGACCCGTGTCCTCTGCCACTGTGCCTGCGGAGCGTTTGGAGCACTCTCTGGTGCACATATGCTGGGTCACAGCAGGTGTTCCCCGCACGCTGGAGCCGCTCCCAGGCTGGCCTCCTGGCCTGCGCCCTCTGTGGCCCCAGAGCAAGGCTGTCCGAGCAGCCTCCTCTGCTGGCAGATGCGGTGCTTCCTATGGACCGTGCACACGGCACCGGACCGTGCACACGGCACCGCCTCATCCCCGCCTCCCTCCCTCCAGCAGGTCGGGGCCCCTGCCACCAGCAGGTGTGGATGAGCATTGACAGGCAGCGTGTCCTGGGCGGGGACCTTGCCAGCGGCACCTGATTTGGGCTGGCTGTGAGTCTCAGTGTCTCCTCTCGGATCTGAGGCCCGTCTCCTCGGCGTGGTGCCGCCCCGGTCATCACATGGCCAGGCTTCCGTGGCAGCTGGAGGGAGGCGTGCTGTGCCCGGTGCGGTGGACATCTCTGCCGCGGCTCCTGGCTTCTCTGCCGCGGGAGTGCATCTGCCCACAGAGTTAGCCGGGGCCCTGGCCTCTGCCGGCCTTCATTCGGGGCATGTGGGATGGGGACTCATCCTCGGGGGCCCCAAATCCCCGACAGCCACAGTGAGGGCAGGCGTAGCGGTGGAGCTCACACAGGGCGCACAGCCTCTCAGGGTTCAGTGGTGACCAGCGGCTCTGCAGCCACAGCGCAGCTCACAGAATGGAGTGACATGGGCTGGCAGGACACGCGGCCTGGGGTCTGGCTTCCGCCCAGGGCAGCGCCAAGCCCTCGAAGGCCGGAGTTCGGCGGGGCGCATCTGGGGGTCGGGAGGGCACGTGGAGAGCAGCGTGGAGGCTCGCGGGAGTGAGATTGAGTGAGGAGCCATTGAGCAGACCTGCTGGGCCGTCGCAGCAGATTTGGGGTCCTGGGGGGACTTCCAGGAGCGCCTGGCCCCTGACAGGGGGTGCGGCACCCTGTGGGGGGAGGGCAGAGCTGGGAGGTGTCCAGGAGTGAGAGCCGGCAGAAGCGGCCCCTCACAAGGCCTTCCTTCCCACCCCCTGCCCGGGCTGAACTAGTCAGTTCTTCCTCTTTTTTCCTTGAAATGAGTCTGTTTATGTCCTTTTCCTGTGTGATGGTGGTGTGCTGCTAAATGGTAGAAGGTCGGCAGGGGGCTGGGAGGGTGTGTGCCAGTGCTTCTCCTGGCCGGCCGTAAAGCAGCCTGGGTCGGGAGAGACGCACAGTGGCCTCCCGTGCACGCGTCCACCGGACGTGGGGCGCCCCGGAGCCCAGCCGGTGGCGAGGCCGTGACCCAGTGCGGGAGCAGGGAGGCCAGTCACCGTGTTTGCTCACAGCGTGCTTCATGGACGGCGGGGCTCGCACTCGGCCTCACAGCGGCTGCACGTGGCACTCACGTGCACAGTGGGCTGCTTGTCACGAGGCCCCAGCTTCAAAGCCAGCGACAGGCGTTGAGTCCTTGCCTCAGCCAGACCTCTCATTTCCTCTCTGACCGTCAGCCCGGAACGCCCTGCCTCTGAAGGGGACTCTGAAGGGGGCACAGGGCCTCTGGGGCCTTTCACACAGTGCCACCCCGCTTCCCCCCAATGGCGCCGCCCCCTACAGGGCCCTGTAGGCCACCTGAGCTCCAGGTTCACTGTGGAACAATGTGATTCTCCCCACGAGAGTCTGAGACCAGCCACTGCCCTGATGCGGGTGGCCTTGTCATAGTAGGGCCCATAGGCGTCTTGTTCTAATCCCGGAGTGATGAGCTGGAGGCTGTCAAGGGACGGGAACGAGGCTCTGCCCCACAGGCTGGGCCAGGGGCAGACCTGGGGGGGACCAGGCTGCTCGCCGTGTGGGGTGCAGGTGGGGCACCTGGGCCAAGGATCAGTCTGTCCCTGGGGTAGTGGAAGACAAGGTGTTTTTGGGCAGAGGCCAGTCCTGACACAGAAACCAGAACCGTCATTTTCAGAGAATTTACGGGGTGCCGGGGAACCCAGAAGGGGAGATGCAGAGAAGGCGGCGCCTGCCGGCAACCCAGCACCCACCCTAAGCGGCCGGGGTGGGGTCGCAGAGGAGGCTGGGTGGTTGGAACTGAAGCCTGGGGGTGGGGACGTGTAGGGCAGGGGACGAGGCCTCCTGCAGCGATGGAAAGCCAGTGTGGGGGCTGTGGCCACTGGCTGGGCGGGCGTCGGTTCCAGAGTCACAGCCCCAGCCTCACAAGGCGCAGCACACAGGTGGGCACCAGCTGGAGACCGGTCTGAACGGGAGGTCCTTTCTCCGGGGCCCAAGGGCTCCCTCTGGAGGTCGAGCCCTCTGCGCCGTCTCTCCTGGGATCTCTCCCGGGGTCTCGCTGAGCCGTGCACAGGCGCTTTGATGGGTGCCGATGGGTGCCCTCAGCTGAGCTTGCCATCCTGACTGACAAGCCCGCGTCACTGGTGGTGTTTGAAATAGAGAGCAGCCAGGGGCTCAGCGTGACCACTTGAAAGCAGAAAATAGCGTCTTCCAGTGAGCCAGCTCCGAGGGATTAATTATCCACGTCCAAAACCAGCACGGCAGATATTTTGGCAGGATTTCCAGGACTGGTGTCATTGCCGCTTCAAATCTGTTTCTGAAAGTTCTTGGTTAGAATGTTCACGGATTTGAAATGCTGCCAGCCCTCTCTGTGTCCGGGGAGCCATGGAATCAGGGAAGAAATTTGCAAAGTGCCAATTTTACCTTTAGATTCATAAGATCATTGATTTTTTTCTTTTTTACTACTTCAAGCCCTGATAACACTGGCTTAAAATAGTTAGAAAGACTTATTATTGAATACGACTCCTGAGTGTGTAGCTCAGTGAATTCACAAAGTGACCACGGCCCCACGAAGACACGGGCCGTGAGCAGCTCGCAGGCGCCTGCTTCCCCGACTCACTGCGGGATGGCGAGGGGCCGCGAGGGGAGGGAGTGGTCAGCCCCGCCGCCCAGCGGGAGCCCTGGCTTCGCCTGCGTACCGCCTGCGTACCGGGCGGTGGCTTCAAGCCTCGGGTGTCCTTTGGTGCAGAGACTTCCGGAAGTGATACAGAGGCCTGAGTCCCAGAAGGTGGTGGTGGCCTCTGAGTCTCGGCCTCTCTGGCTGGTGGCTCCCTAGCACATTTTCTACACAAAGGAGTGAGCAAAACCCATCACTGGCCATGTGCACCGCCAGAAGTGTGGCCATGGAGCCTGACTCAGGCCGTCCTGGCTCCCGTGCCTGGGGCCTGCCACACGTCCGCCCGGAAGCCCCCCACCTCCAGGCTGGCCTCCAGGCTGGCGTCGGGCACCTGCTGTGATTTGCTGCCGCCTGGCAGGCTCTTAAGCCTAGTCCTTCTCTCTGTCTTGCAGGTTTTGGGGTTTGAGATCGATGCCGTGAACTCTGTCCAGTTTTCAAACCACACAGGTGAGATGCGGGCGCAGCTGAGTGTGGGCGTGAGGAGCAGCCCTTCAGAAGTCTGGGGGTCCCCCCAACTGATGGATGGGGAAGAGGCACCGGAAATGGCGTCCCTCCGCAGAGGCCGCCCCATGCACGAGGGTAGAGGGCGGAGGGCGGGGGTCAGCCGGTCTGCAGGTGTGGACTGCCGCGTCCGAGTCTCAGCTCAGTGGCTTTGGACCAGCTTCCCCAGGCAGGTGGTGCTCCACTCCCTTCCTTGAAAAGCAAGGACACCAGGACGGCGATCCCAGTACCCACTCCAGGTCCCCTCCTGCCCCTTGCACACGCCTGCTCTTGCCCCTCGTCCACCAGGTGACCCTGTGGCTGCGTGGAGGGCCCCCCATGCTGCAGGTGGGCATGTGGGTGTGCCCTGATTGTCTCTGTTTGAGACCAGTGCCTGGAGGAGCACGTGGGCATCTCAGTGCACGGGGACACCAAGGCTTTCTGGGTATAGAAGCCTTTAAGCGGAATTGCTGGCTCAGCGGGGTGTGAGGGTCAGTGGCCTCAGCAGGCCCTCGTTGTCAGGGCGAGCCCCCATGCTCCCCAGCTTCCCACACCCCGACCCCGTGCTCCCCACTCGGCCTCAGAGGCAGGAGGACGAAGCCACTGCAGTTCTTGGAAATGTCCCCTCATCGCCTCTGCTGAGATGACTCTGAGCCCAGGTGGATGTCTGGGACACAGAGCTTCCCAGGACCACCTGGCAGAGCCCGGCAGGGCCTGGCAGAGCGCCAGCCGAATAAGCCGGAGGCTGCCTCCGCCCGCCCCCAGGGAGGCTGTCCCTAACTCTTCTTGGGTTCAGTCTTTCTCAGAAGGGAGCAGGCATCCTAAGTAGTCACACATAGGGAGGGATTGCGTGTGGGTTTGAGAGGAAAGGTGGCAGGCCGCTCGCTGCTTTGCCGGGTGTGCTGGGCACTTCGTCTTTGGAGCGGTCCCAAAAGTTCGCGTCGATCCAGCGAGCTTCCCAGAAGCCCGCGTGTTTCCACTGGCTGTTTTAACTACTTTCCTGTTTTTATCTCTTTTTTCCTTCGTTAAAGTAAATAAGCCGAGCTGGTTTGGATGCTCCACGCTGGAGTTAAACTTGCTGCCAGTATCGTGCTGGGCGCGGATCCACATGAGCTCAGCCTAAGCAGAGACCCTGCTCAGAAACTCCTGTGCCCTTTGTCCCAGATTCCAGGACAGGAGGGGAGGGGCTTCTGGGGGCTTCAGTGGTCATTGGCCCCTTCTGGGCTCCTGGCGACCTTCTCAGGTGGTGGTGGCGGACTGGCCAACGCTGAGGGGTGGGACACGGGCCTTCGCCTGCCCCGGGAGGGATGGGGCCACGCAGAGGCAGGCATGGTTAGGCCGGGGTGGGGGCTTCCCAGCCAGTGGGGCCCCCCGTGCTTCTTGGGAGGGCCTTCCCCCAGGTCCAGAGGAGACCGCTGCCCTGACCCCAGCCTCCTCCAGATGCTGTGTGGTTGCCGCCTGGCTGTGTGCTTGATGCCCGACCCAGCATCCCCTTGTGCCAGCTGCTTTGGGTGTCATGTGACCCGGGGACACAGTGAATGGTTGGCGTGGGTGGACACAGGAGGTATGAAGGAGCCCAGTGATGAGGTGACTCCCGGGGCCTCATGTCGGGGTGGGGCTGATGCTCCAGTTATAACCCCTTTCCCGCCCCCACCAGGGCTGCACGTCAGTGGGTGCTGGGCCTCTCCCATCACTGGGGACCCGTCAGGTGGGGATCCCACCTGTGGGTGACTGTGTGCCCTGAGATGGGCCCACAGGGTCCGGCCTGTGCAGCCCAATCAGAGGGCCTCCAGGGGAAGCCCTCCCCAAGGCCAGCCGTGGCTCAGGTGCCAGCTCCCGGCCCAGAGTAGCCAGGCGAGGTCTCCCCGTGCTCCTGAGCCCGGGGACCCCTTGCTCCCATCGCTCTGCCCCTCAGCCCTGCCCACACCCGGCCGCTCAGAGGTGAGGCTGGCCTGACTGGAAACCAGCCCCTGTGGCACGTGGCACTGGCGCCTGCGGAGCCATGGGAGTGTGTGGTTAGGACGTGTGACACAGCCACCCCCACGTGGCCACACAGCTCCTGACTCCTGGGGAGCAGCGCCATGTTGCCCACTGTGCGTGTAGCTCACCCACGGCTACCTGTCTGTTACGTCCGGGCTTTGGGCATGAAACAAAAGTGCTTGACATTATTCAGCTTTTCTTCAAAAAGGAGGCGTTTTGTGTTCCCCCCCTCCCCTTCATCAGGCAGCTCTCTCGGCCACCTGCAGCGGGAAGGGCCTGCTGCACGAGCCCTGCGTGACTCGGGGAGCACGGCCGTCCCGACTCGTGGGTGTCCTTGTCCAGCGGCGGGCCGCTCAGGCCGTCCGGCGAAGGCCTCCCTGGTTTGTCATTTCCACCATGTGGTCCTACAGTGTGCTGGCCCCGAGAGTTCGGCCACGGTGCTATACGCCACTGAACCAGCAGCCGCATGGGGCCCGCCCCGGGTCACCTGAGCAGCGCCAGTTATCGAGGTGACTTCTGACCACTTGGGCCCACGACTCACGCACTCGGCTCTGCTACCCGTAGCCCGCCCACCCTTCTGATCAGAAATCGGTCCTTAAAAACAAAAAGCCATGTTTATGAAGACACGTACATACTATAGAATTAATTCACCAATTTTGTGTACAGCTCGGCGGCCTCTGGTGCATCACAGAGCTGTGCGACCCTCACCACTGTGATCTCCAGCCCACTGTCATTGCCCCACGGACAGGAAACCAGGCCGAGTCCATGTCCCCGCCCCCGTGAGCGGCCCCCCCACTGCCCACCCACAGCCGCCGGCATCCAGCGGTCCACTCTCCATCCATGCATCTGCCCGTCGTGGGCGTCTCCTAAAAACGGCATCGCGAGACACGTGGCCTCCGGTGACCGGTTTCTTGCAGCGAGCCTGGTATCTCTACGGTTCGCCCGCGCTGGAGCACGCATCAGAGTTTCCTTCCCTTTCATGGCTCAGTCGCGTGGCACGTCCCTCTGCGTGTGTCCACCACGTCGTGGTCGCCCGCGCGTCCACCCATCGGTGGGCATTTCCGTTCGTGCGTCACGTCGCTGTGCACGTTTCCTTCGCTGGTGCCGTGGGCGTCCTCGG